CGAATAAATCCATAACAAATGAGAAGGAGGGCGTCGTGCATTGGAGAAGGGACAACTGGCTGCTGCGACAACTATTCAGATCAGTTCTTCGGCGATCACCAGTGGCCTGACGCCCTGGCTTTACAAGTTGGGAATAATCTCAGATGAGATGGCTCTGGAGCATTTGCGCAGCTCTATGGAACTGGCGAATGCACGGATACGAGCGCAACCGTGAATTCATCTAGTGCCATTGAGTATGCGCCAGCGATGAACTTCTCCAGCACAGCAGCAGCCTGGACGCCGGTCAAATATGAGTAACCGGAGTGATGGATGGCCCAGTGCAGAATGCAGTAGAAAGCAGCGGATCAAGCGGGATTGATCTCAGCGCCAAAATCAGCTAGTTACACTTACACTCGAACGATCTATCCCTCCCGGGAAATTGGTACATCATGGTTTGGTGGGAGCCGAACAGTGAACTCGGGCGAAGCCAAATGCGAGCAACGCAGGTGCAGATTGATGCAGTAGTAGTAGTATCCGGAGAGCACACATAATGCACTGCAACGACCACAACCTATGTCCTTCCTCATCACCCTCCAAAACTGAGAGAAAAGGAGCAACACAGGACGGACAGTGACAATCGCATATACTGCTCGGAGGGAAACTACAGGTCGCCCCTCCCTCCTCCGTCCGCATTGTCGAGGAGGAGGAAGAGGACGACGACTGTGAGGTATGTTCACTGTTTGCTGTCTCCGCATCCCTCCCTCCCTCTGTTCCTCGGCGCTCAACGAAAATTGTCCGGAATAGACAACTGAGGCCATAACTGGCCCTGAACTCGCTCAGCAGCTGCACCGGCAGCTATGCCCCCTACCCCCCCATCATCATCATCCCGCCCGGTCCATTATACCCATTCGAGCGACCTCACCCACCGCACACAACCCAACCCAGGACAGTGCCCATGTGCATACACACACACACACACACATACAAGCACACACCACACACACACACACACACAATTATTGCGCACTCGTACAGCTCTATCGACCCTCACGCATTATCACTATTCCAGACAGACAAAAAGGAGGCATTACAGGGTTGTGTAAAAGTTCCGGATGGGAGCAGTGGGTAAGAGCAGGCGCAGCGCGAGCGCGCATTGTTCGCGATGTCCTTGAGCAGGAGCAATTTCGTCGAAAGCTCACTTAGCCGCTGATGCTGGCCACGGACATCAGCAGGCCCAGCACAACGTCAACAACCGAACGCACAATGCTCGTACTGAATCACACACCACCCATCCTTGAAGCACACAAGAGGCAAGATCGACCTCCACTTCCCGCGCACCTCTCTGGCACGCCTCCCCTCTCCGGATAAAAATTTGAGTGGCGGAGGGATCATCGATTGGTGGGAAGCAGATCGAGTACCATCCCTTCCTCCCGTAGTCTCAGCGTGCTTACTTGAAACATGCCTGTTTTGGCTTAAAATTGGAATTTCCGATTCTGGGTAAACCTGACTTCCTCAAACAATTAAATATTGCCCCTCTTGTGTTTTTGCATTTTTGATAAATGTGAAAACACCCACTGACGAGAGGTTGTGTGTATATGTGTTCTGATTTTGCCACCCACTTTCAACAGAGCAACTTTCAAAGAAACTAAAAATCCGATATTTTGCGAGCATGTTTGTGGTCTATGCGCAACCTTACAAACGTAAAGTTGGTTCTTAGGCACGCCCACGTTTTATGAACGGACACTCGGGAAATGTAAAGGAATTTTAGCGGGGAATGATTTCGAAAACCAGATAAGATCGGGAGCTGAAATTTCACGACGATTTCCTCACGGGCAGCATGCCAAACCGGGAATCAAATTTCGTAAAAAATCGCAATTTTACGCATGCTTGTATGCATTAAATAACTTTTTGCATGTGCCTGTGTTGCGAGCTCCGAAACGTCAAAGTTTAATTTCCAAAATTGTTGGCGTCCTTCTCTCTCTATCGTAAATCAGACGGATTAGAAAGCTGGAATTTCACGAGGATGTTATCCGACGCAGAAGAACATAAAGTCAGCTTTACGCACGCACTTACATCTTGTACACAGACACAAGTCCCAGGAATTTTTGAGTATCTTCCTAAATCGAGGACCGGACCAATTAAAAAGTTTTACTTTTACTGTACGTCTAGTGCCCACTTATCGGCCCGAAGGCGTAAAATGAGCTTCCACGAAAGCCACGTCCCGGTATACGGACTTCTCAAAGTTGTATCTGCAAAATTGTCGACATTCCGCCTTATGTTAATCAGACATGTTAGAAAGCTGAGATCGCAGTGCACCCAAAGTGCAATAACACCAGCTCAGTGGATGATCCTCTTGCATAAAAAACAATTTTGCTGTGAACACACACACAGCCCCGTGACAATATGCATCTTGTACTGTTCTTACACAACACAAAACGCATAAAAAAAAGACTTGCAAGAGTATTTTCAAGATGAGTATATGTATCAAACTGTAAAGCAACGCTGTCCATTCATACAGTCAATGACCTTACTAATGCACGAAGCCACAAAAAAAAAACACATGACCACATCAGAATGCCTATTGTGCGCTGCTAATTATTTCTATAATTAAATTTTGATGTAATTATTGCAGTGTTGAAATCAAAAATCTCTCTCGCAGTTCCTCGAAACCGTAGGAGCCGGAAGGTGAATTCTAAACCCGGAGAACTCCCGTCTTTTAGACCCCATGAGGGAGCCAAACTTCTTCATTTCTTGCCGTTGTTCAGTATTACTCAGTATGCGTTAATGAACAGACGCGATCTCCACACCGCACTTTTGCAAATCACCATCGTTTTCTGGTCTGACTGTGAGTCCTGTCTGGCAAACTGAAATCTCGGGATAGACCGGACGAGAGGAGGAATGCTTTCATCTCCCTGCACTTCTTTCTCATCACCCACTGATACGAGCTTTATTCTTCTGTTCAAAATCCCCGATGCCGTCGTAATCTTCCACCTGAATTACGGCTTCGAAACTCCTGCGGCAACAGCCCCAGCTGCTGTTCCCCTTCCTTCACAACAAATAAAGTGTTTATTCGTATACAAAGACTTTCACGAAATTTCACTGCACCGGGCGATATGGCAGGGTCCGTCCCAACTGCTTGCATGCCGAGTTTCAAAGCGTTCTCGCAGTTTTAAAACTGCCATACATTTTAAAGCAGCGACACTTCATTCAGGAGATCCTGAATTCTGTCCAGAGATTGGAAACTGAAGGAATACGGTGGAGGCTTTGAAATTTCTAATGCTATACTACGTTGCTATTAAAATTAAAACCTTAAAATAGTTGAGCTTCCATTCAACTCCAGCTGGTCCGCTTAAAAGGCCGCCAGCCTTCATTATTGTTCAGTTTTGTACTGCGAAGTCAAGCAAGAATCGAATAACAGCTATCTAGACTGGGCTCGGTGCCCCCCGTGCTGTTGCCGATACGCAGCTACACGGTGGGGTACTGCTCCTCCTGAAGTGGGTGCCGGTGCACTGAGGGTAAATGAGGCAAGTCACAACCAGCCGACCCCTATCGGGTAATGTGTACGAGTTTTTATTCGAATTTCATCCATCAAATATGCGCAGCATTACAAACGGGACTAGAACATGCCTGTTCAAACAAATTCACACAACTATGCACAATGTAACCAGAAATAATAGGGCCAAAAAAAAACGAATATTCTGAAAGAAAATAGTAAGGCAGACGTTGGCGTGAGTAGTACATAACAAGTAATTTCAAACTGTAGTTAACATCGATGCCGTCAATAGTACGAGGAGTTATGCTCTGCGCTCAGCCAAAAAGGATACGTCAACGTGAATACTGCGCAAGCGTCATCAACAAATTTTTTTTTTCGCACAAACTTACCCTTTACTAATTTCTCGACGAAATTTTTGGCAGGTTAGGATATATCTTTTTTTTTGGCAAATTTAACTCTGATTTTACTATAAATTTTAGCTTTTTTTTAAATTAAAAGGATGTGCAAGAAGCTTTTTACAAGCTGCTTCAAAAACGAGCCTTACAGAGCTTCGAGGTTGATTCCCAACCAAGTCATCTAAAAGTGTAAAAATGCAGTCAGCACCAATAAAGCGGTAGAGCGCATCTTAGTCAACATGCACCATGTACTTGTGTTTGACATATGATTCGTGAGATGTCTAGTAATCTCTACTTGCTCGCCACAGTATATTACGAAAAACACATACACACCTACGCACCCATACAAAACTACCTTCTTTTTCACACACTTGCACACATACAAAGATGCACGCATGATTTCGCCCCGATTTTTCTGTGTTATATCAGCAACAAAAAAAATGCACAACCCATATGGTAACGCGCACTAGAGGGTTATCGGTGCCATCATGCGTTTTTGCGCTAAACTTGAAGCAATTATATTGTTAACAATACGAAGAGCTGCTGTTTACAGTTCAAACATGTGCAATCATGTTGGCTGTCTTTTGGTCTTTTTTTTGCTTGCAAGGGAAAGGGGCTCGTAGGAACAGAAGTGTTGCATTATGGGGCCGCATGAAATTTTAACCTCCAGCACGCATGATTACCGTCAATTTTGCACGAACGGAAATCAAAAATTTGCTGTCAGTAGTTGTTCGTTGAAAAGGTATAGTGAGCAGGATGGCGAGAGAGGACTGCGAAATCCAAGTTGAAAAGTTTCCCGTCAGAGTTCCAAAGCGTTCATCGGTGTACATAGAAACAGAAGTTGAAGTTTCTGGACCGCACATGAACACAGAAATCCAGTGAACGGCAATAAATTTTAATAGTCTATTCGTTAAACACAAGCGAGATGTGTTCAGATGAAATTCGAGCAGAATTTTTGCTGTAAGGCACACGGTTCTTCTCAATCGGGAGTTTCCAGAGACGTTTCCTCGAAAAAATACATTCGTTATCAACTATTAACATGATATAGATGAGATTTAGCAAGTTTTCAGGGACTGGGACACGAGTAATACTACCCAGACGAGTGTTGCGAGAATAATAAAAACGATACTCCGTAAGCATGAGCATTTGATTTACAGCATTCTTATTCAGAAACCCACCTCGTGAATGTAACACGAAGCAGAGAAAGGAAAAAGTGATGGGAATATGCTACCAGGATATGAGCAGATGCGTAATAAAAAAAGCACTGGTTGCTGAGCTGAAAAACATGTCAGCAGTTATAAAAAAGGTGACCCGATCAAAACAAAGAGTGATGCAATACAAAACGCAGCGGTATGCAGTAGCCAAATAATTACATCAGTCGAAAAAATCCGTCAGAAGAATCCGTCGCTTACATTCAGCCACGTGCATTTGAGCCTCCAAACCACCCCTTTCCATATTTTCGGCCCTCTCCACCTTCCACGACAGTTCTTCAATCTCCTTCTCCAGTTGTGCTTGCTGATACTCAAACTAAACAGAGACGCATGTACACTATATTCATCAAACATGATATCAATAAATGCTCTATTCAATAAAGTGCTCCTCAGCTGAGAAAAACCTACCAGTTCCTTTCTTGGCCCATTCTCCATATAATACGCATATGGATAGGTATATTGCAGCGTGTACCGGCATTTTGTAAGCAGTGCCGCCGCTTTCTGCAGATATTCCCAATCAATCCAGGTCCCCTCATGATTGTTAACTTTGTCCTCAATTTTCTTCATTATACGTTTGCGCAAGTCCTCCTCCAGCATCAAGGATTTGTGGTGATTCTCGTAGCGCTCTGTAAATGCTGTTACCTTCTAAAAATTCGTTTCGATAATACAAACTATTCTCAAATGATAAGCTTTCTGGGGCAAGATAACATAGATGGGAGGTTTTATTAAGCAAACACGAAGAGATTTCAGTGACAAAGTCAGAAATGAGGATTTGTCGGGAAACGTACCAAACTCTTTGAACTGAAAACAAGAAATGACAGAAGCAGGAGATCCACGAATTTTTCCTTTCGACCGCTCAAAACCTTTCATAATGAATTTGGTTTCCAGGGAAAAGTACTGGTAGGCGCTAAATAAAGCTCGGATGACATCGGCTAAATCCTTACAAGTCAACAAGAACTGGTTATATTCGTCATTCAGGCGTGAACTGTTTCTGCTCATACTTGTTGTTGTTTTGTGACAACCAGTAGACCGCCAGAATGAAGAGCAAATTTTTAAAAAAATTCCTTAACACTAGAATATCTGATTCATTTCTCCCCGACCAAGAAGGAGCAAGCTACCTTGGAAAAAAAAACATGCTGGACCCGGAATTAACATATCATATGACAACTCAATCTGATAAAAATTTCAAACACGGTTTTCAAACCATCTTGCTCGGTGTGCGATCGACGCAATTCGTTCAAAAAAGCTTTTATGCATTTTTGTTATGCATCAGAATGCAAAAACGCATTGTGGTAAGATATGTCTGCCATTTCTTGTCCAAGACAGCACAGTTCTGGAACGGCTGGCTTCTATTTTCCACCGCAAGTTCAGATCAATTTACTGAACAAATTCAATGCTACCCAACCTCATCTACTATTCTTAGTTGGAATTCAGCAAGTTGTTGAGTTTGGTGACCTCCGCCTGAAGTTAATTTCTTCGATCATCCAAATTTTCATTTCGCTTCAACGACTTTGAAGCGGCCACTAGCGGCAAAAATGAGGGACTCCACCTCAGAACACTACGGAAGACTGCCGGCTGATGCTGGTAAGTGTAGCAGCAGTGCAAACAAAGGGGTCAAAGGAAGCTGGCAAGTATTTTCAAAGCCGCAAGGGCGCACCGTAATAATGAAGATATTTTTCAAGGGCGCGACGGGCTTTAATATGGTTTGCCTCTTGAGCCACCAGTGGATTTTCCTTATAACGGCTACATTCATAATATTCACTTCCGTGCGTCTTCCAGTCTAAAAAATGACATATAATTATTTGGGAGAAATGGAACCTACAGTGAGTAGCCTCTCGGGACAAAAAAAAAAATTTTTTTCGAAAAATAAGAATAAAATCTTCGCAAAATTGCAACTTCCCGGTACATAATTTGTTGAAAAATTGAAAAATAAATGAACCGTAAAACAGCAAGACCTCCGTAACACATCCAACAAAAGTGATGCTTGCACTTGGCGCACTGCATGTGATTACAACCGCCATTCTTTTCGATACATGAGTGACACTTCGGGCAGTCCTTCGTATGAGCACTAAATCAGTGAATTGAAAGATTCCGCAGGTGCATGAAACCGCCAGGAACAAGAGGCTAACATCACCTAGGACATGCTGAGATGCTTTGATTCCGGAAGTTTAAAAAATTTGCCCGAATTTGAACATAGGGTCAACCAGAAAGTCGATTTCAAGCCATTAAAGATGCCGTATACAAGCAGTTAGAATCCCAGAATTCTCAGTTTTCAGCTCTGAAATATAAAAAGAAAGACTATGTTTATTACGCCCGAGGTTAAAGGTGAGAATTCAGTGAAAATTCAGACTATCGGCCTTAACAAGCCTACAACTTCTTGGTTGCTGAACTACAAAAATAGCGTGAATTTTGGACCTAAAATCGGAGAAAAACCCAGGCTGGAACGCACCAGGCGGGCCGGTGCGATTATGCGTTTTTGCAATTCTCGTGCCGTAGGCAAGATCGCAAGGAAATAAGTGTAGCTAACCCTGTGAAATACTGGCCCTCGGAGTTCGGAAGTAAATTGTGCAACTATGTGGTATGTCAGTTGTGAGTATCTGATCCGTGCAAAGTACTGACCCTCGAAGTTTGAGAAGTTAATTATGCAACTATGTGGTATGTCAGTTGTAGA